GTTCCTCCACTTTGAGTAAGTCGCCGAGGACCACACCATGGGAGCCGATCTCAATCCACTTCCCTGATCTCAGAACTTGCACCCTAGTCTCTAACTTCGCCAAGGTAGCGATCTTCTTCTGGCCCCTCCTTACGATGAACAAGGCCCGATAGATCCCCGCAATCAGAGTCATGCCGAGCCATATTATTCCAATATTCCACGTCGTATACACGATGTATGTCCAGGCCGCAATAGACTGTAGTATGTAGAGAACATCGCTGAACTCCGAAGCCAGACTCTCAATGATCCCGGGGACTCGCACTCTGATCGCGTTCGGACCCGTTTCCTCCAACTCGAGTGTGGCCTCCTCGTGACTTAAACCACCAGTCCTCAGCCGGTGATGCATCTCAGAAGCTGTCCATTCTCCCATGCCAACAGGACGGAACCGACCAACGTTAGTATCAAATACATATCTAACGCACATATACTCGTAGCACTTAACGCCGAGCATTTCATCGTATTCAACTTCAACGATCGTCTTGCGGGTGGCGCTCCTGAAGCGTGCACGTAGTCTGTCCCAAAGGGCCGATATGTGACGACTGAAGACCGGCACGTCCTCATCAGAAGCCATTCCTGGATCTATCATATCCTTAGAGTCCTCCGCGAGAGGTACCGCCTCCTCAATAACCACATTCGTAGCCTCACTAAGATGTGGCTCGGGCAACATGAACAGCGTAACGAGAGAGTGATAGAATTTAGATAGCACGGCAGCCAGTACGTGAAAAACGACCATTGAGTATATTGCTGGTATAACAACTCCGTTCCAGTCAGTTTGCCAGTCTGAGAGGAGTTCAGTGAAATACGAAAATGAGACGAATATGATGATGCAAAGGTATGCTAGCATAAGGAGAAGAAGCCAAGCATAGAGAACGACGGTTCCCATCATGGTTTTCTTGTAGCCGGTCTGGATGAAGAACCTCTCAGCTTCGTCGGGGCTCTCAAATGATAGACGACGGCAAGCCGACGACTTAGACTTGATG